TTACTTACAAAATTCACAATGTAATCCAAAATAACCTTTTGGACATTCACAAGTATCTTTCTGTACACATTTCCCTCCATTTAAACATTTTTCTGCACATATACCTAAAATTAATGCTTTAATTAAAAAAAAACATATATATCAAAAATATTTTAAATTTTATAGAAAAAATGCTGCATCTTAGACAATATGGGATTCGATTGGCTAGCACATCAGCAATTTCAGGAACAACTAAACCAGGAAAATTATTAGATTCAATTATAAGAGTAGATCATGCTGGAGAATTAGGAGCAGATAGAATATATGCTGGACAAATGGCTGTTTTAGGTATAAATATATTATAAATATATCAAAATATTATTTTTTTTTGGAAATAAATTTAAATTCAATGTAGATACATAAGATAGGTAGGACTTCTGTTGGCCCAACTATTCAACATATGTGGGATCAAGAGAAAAAACATCGTGCGAAATTTGAAGAATTAATTACAAAATATCGTGTAAGACCCACTGTTTTAATACCTATTTGGAATGTTGCTGGATTTATTCTTGGTGCTGGTACAGCACTTATGGGAGAAAAAGCAGCTATGGCTTGCACTGTAGCTGTTGAAACAGTGATTACAGAGCATTATAATGATCAATTGCGCGCATTAGTAGAAAATGAAGAAAAAGTAGATGAAGAAATTTTAGAAACAATTAAAAAATTCCGTGATGAAGAACAAGAACATCATGATACAGGTATAGAACATGGTGCAGAACAAGCCCCATTTTATCAAGCTTTAACAAATATTATTAAATTTGGCTGTAAAACTGCTATATCAATATCTAAAGTTATATGATATTATTATAGTATGAAAATGTTACATTAACAGTTATAAAAAATTAGTTTAATTTTAATGGAATAAAATAATATTTACTTTATATATATATATATACATATATATTTTTTATTTTAATTTCAAAGTACCTCCTTCACAGTATGGTCCTTGAAATCCTGGTGGACATGAACAAACACCAGGTGCTGTACAATTTCCACCATTCATACAGTTTGGATAACACAATGCCTTCTTACAATGAGGTGGACCTAAATATCCATCTGGACAAGGTCCAGGATTAGGTTCTGCAATAAAAAATATTGCATATAGAAAAGATTTATTTTCATGATATTAATATTAGTATTATAAGTAGAAAATTTGAATGGAATAAGTGTGATTTTAAATATATTTTTTAATAAAACTATATCCATGCATGATATTCTCAAATGAAATTAATTTAAATATTTTTGAATATACCAAGCAAATACTGCATGCATAAATTCTATTTTATTTTCGACTTTGGTAAAAATTAGAAACAAATATCATTTATTGTTATATCAGAAAAAAACACAAAAAATATTGAGTTATTATTATCACACAAATTTAAGCAAAATTAAGCAAAATAAGCGTAATTACATTCCAACCAACATTTATATAGTACTTAATAGTAGATTTAAGATAGATTTTTATGAACAAAAATTTCATGAATATCATAGAAGCAAAACAGAGTTTTATTTTTATTTTTATAGTTTTATTTACAATTGACTAAATTAATTATCGAGTAAATTATAATAATAATCATTACATCTATGAGATAAAACTATATATAGAGAATCTATTTGCTTGTTTAAAAATATTATTTAATTAAATATTGTTTAAAAATATATATAGAAAAAATTTTCCATAAAATATTTTTTTATATTAAGTTAATATAAAAGTATATTTTTTATTTAAATAGAAAAATAATTGAAATTTTCGTTAATTCAAAGTATGTACCTAATCTTTCTTATAACATTTTTTTTTCCTATTTTTATACAAATAAAAATTTTCACAGGACTAATTTTGATTTCGATTGTTTCTGATTGAAGTATGTAGCATATTAGGCGATTAATTATTGCTGATAAAGAATTGTCTGTGTGAGTGAGAAATTTTCGTTCGTGGGCGCGATTGATGCACTCACCACGCACGGTGCATTCTTTTCTCAGGTTAAGACGAAGGGGTGTCCCATTTAAAGGTTTCCCCTTACGTGTCTCAATCATCAGACCGATGCCCAATTGCGCAATGCCCGAATTATTACCGGAACAGGGTAATAAGACGCTAAATTCTGTGATAATGAATTATGTATGTGTTAAATTTATGAATTTTTTGTTAATCGATAAAATTCATTAATTAATTAAAATGATTAAATTAATAAATAAAATATAAATTACCCTTAGGTCTTTTAGGTACTCTTCCTTGCGTTTTGATTGTAATATATGGAGTTTTCAGAATTGTTTCGTCGAAAGATTTTAATCGATAAAAATTATAATAATATTTTTTTACACCGGATTTCCATGTAAAATTCACGTATGTTACTTCGCTCGGAATAATCGGAAGTTTACTTTCGAATTCTGGATCCAATAGATAAGGTAAGACTCTACCTTCCGTAATTGCAAATATTTCCATTTCAACTCCTAAATGAAACAGAAAAAAAAAATCGATCATAATTTTATTATGATTTATCCATTGAAAAGTATGATAAAAATAAAAGTATATATGAATTATTATTAAAATTAATACATTAAATTTATTTATATATTAAACATAAAAACTAATGAATTTAACATGAAATATAAAAATAATATAAAGAGATTTTAAAAAATAAAACTTTTTATTAAAAAATCAGATTAAAAAATTAATTTTTTTATTAAAAAATCATAAAAATTAATATTATAATAAAAATAATGATATTAAATGGTACTTCTATTTATATTTCATATTAGAATTTATATTACATAAATTATAAATTTTATTAGATTATATTAAATAGAATATAAAATAAATTCTTTAAAAAAAATATACAAGAGTTTTAAATACTTAAGATTAAAAATTAAATAGAATCTGATATAAAGAAAAAGAAAAAAGATGAAAACGAAAAAAAGAATACATAACTGAATACAAGTGGATATCCGTGGAATGATAGTATCAGTATACATATAACAACTTACCGCTGAACATTTTGATTTGTTGCTGATCGATCCAGAGAGAAATGTCACCGGTTGGTTTGTGACCATTGCCAGAACGATGGTGATGCCTTGCGGCCGCCGTGTCCAGAAGCAGAGCGATAGCCGCCGAGGCCAGGGCGGCTGCGGCCCACTGCATAATTAACGACGTGCCG